CTCAAATCGTTGTACAAATGAAAATTTATTGGGCCTGCGTTTACGTTTGTAACTCGGACACGCTCACTCTCGAGACCAGGGCGTTCGAAAACAAAAACATTATGCTTCGGCTACAACGAAACGAGAGCTTTACGTGGGAAATTCATCTTTCCGTCTTTGTACTTTGTTTATGCCAACACTACCGTGTGCGTACAGCATTTAAGCGTCGACTCGATCTCTGGAAATTCCGCGTCGGAGGTGACGCATATTACCCACTGGTGTGCCGGGGATGGATTTTCACTCCCCAAAAAATGGTCGGGCTTTTTGTTGCTTCTGCCCTGATTTTTCGTGAGTACAATAATGTATACGTATACCAGATATGTAGGCGTATCGATTTTATTTCGGTTTCTGCAGTCAAGGACGCCGGGATGATCAAATTTCGTTTCTCCGGGGTTGCGGTTATTTCAAGTGAAACTGGAACACTGGGCGCCGAATTTGCAAGGCAAAGCTACTTTATCCTCCCCGCATCGAAGATTCGTACCGATGCCGATGTCTTCGGATCGGCAGGCTATACTTTAGGCGCACCACGTCGTAAAATGTTGCAGAGCGAATTTCGCCATCTCGCACGTCCGAGACACGCTTTTGCTCGATCGATACGTCCATTTTACATTAAAATGCTACATTGTGTGATTCGGTAGCTTCGAGCGTGTAAAACAAAATACTTACAATGTAGATACAGAGTATTGTGTGCCGAGTGAGATTATCTACCCCTCCCATTGAGGGCAAAAATGTGGCGCGTTAAAACGAAAGCCACTGCCTCTCCTTCCAGGGTATACATATATACGTATAGTGCACCTGACGCATCTCGCATGCATAATACTATACTACTGAGGTCGGCCCGGCGAAAAATGTACGCGCGCCCCCTTCTCGCCGTGACAAGACTGAAGTTTAATTTTTAAGGCCTCTTTGCTTTTCTAATTTTCTCCTTCGCGCTAGCCACTGAAAAGAAAAAGCCAAGAGAGCGGGGCGGGAGGGGGGAAAGGAAGGATGTTCGCGGAGTGCTTTATTATTATGAAAATTGCAGACCTCAGCCGCGGCTGTCGTCGACGACGGGCTTTTTGGACTCCGCGTCCTGGAAAATTTCACCGCCCGTCTGCCACTTGAAAATCTCGAACTTTGGGACAGTACAGTTGTGGCGTTAAACACCTTTGCTTTTAAGGATACATTTTTGGTAAAAGTTTTTTAATAATACTTATACCCAGAAATTAATTTAATTTAAATACTCCATCAACTAAAATTCGCAGTTTTGTTTCACTTTGTGGATTTACAATTTACGGCAAAAGTACGATAATAAGAGCATCCTTCAAGTTATATGTACATGGTAAAACGTGTGGAATCTAAGATACCTTCTGGCGAGTTGAAGCTACAGCACTAAAAATTCTCTCTTATACGCGGCGTATGCACAATTTTCGTACTCGACGTCCATTTTGGTTTAATTTGGCATGCTCTGGAATTTTCATCAGCCAAAATCTCCATTCCGTGGCTACCAACTTGAAAAAAATCACACCGATGGCAGTGATGTTTATGATACGTTTTCTAAAAAAAATTTTTTTTTTGGCCTTGTGATTTATTGTTTTTTGATTTTTTTTAAAATTTTAAATTTCACGTACGTGCTGGCACGTGAATATTATCACTGTGTATACATACAGATGAGATTTTCGTCATTAGTATTCTCTGTGTCAGTCGTGTGCGGCATAATTATTTTGTAACATGTGCTTGGAAGAGGAGGTACGAAGATTTATGCAACGCATACAACGAAATACCTTTCACAAACGAAATACCTACTCTTGAAAAATTATTATTTTTTTTTTTCGACTTTTATTAGCCACGATCCTTTTCCTTTTGATAAAATCCACTGGGAGTTGTTATTGAAATACGTTCTGCGAAGGGGCTTTTTTTCTCCGCTGTCCCTTCTCCTCACTATATCCCTCGCTAGAATTTACGTCGGATACATGTCTCATAAAAATGCCATGGAATATCGGCGGCTGCATTGATTTCTCACTTCCAAGACGTCCAATCTCGAGTAAGAATTTCACGTAAGGCGCAAGAAAAATGTGCTTGCACTTTTTCTCCAGCTGTTCAGAACGAGAAGGATTTCTGGTTTTACAATCTTGCCATTTATTTAATTTCACGTTGAATGGGCCCAAAACTATACTTGGCTTCCCACAAGTATAGGTAACTTGAACAAAACGAGGGACATATTATATACATAATGATTGCATACTCTAAACCAATTAGTCGTACGATTTTTCAGTTGTATCATTAATATAATACCCTTGTGCCAAATCCTGTATGAAGCATTTGTCGATAAAAATATGTTGAACCAAAGTTTGGGTGGGGTCACTTGCGAGCTTTTATATAATTAATAGTGAGACGTCAAAAAGTCCCTACATACTATTCATCGGCGTCATGATTAATCAAAGAGAAAAACTAGCTCGGATAAGCGATCTTTATCGCGTGTACGTAGGTCGAAATGAGTAGGAAAATAAAATAAATCGAGAGAAAAGCATTTTTCATCATCACACTTATCACCCCCGATAGACGGACGGGATGTGGGTACGCGGCTCACGTACAACGTGTACTTGCGCTGCAACGCTCGCGGATCATCGATCCTCCTTTCGTCCGGTGTTCACGTGTGCGTGTGCACGCACGCGCGCTTGTATGAATGTGACTGCGTGTAAAATGTATTTATGTGATTTCGAGTGCTATAGTGGCGGTAATCTTTGGGAATTCCGGAAATTAAAGCGATACCATAACATAAATATATACTTGGACGTCTATACGAGGCAAGACGGAGCAAGAGAATACAGGACCTACTCGGTTGAAATATCATTATACATGAACTATATATTTGACGTGTGTCGAGACTCTTTGACGGCAAATCCTTGGATTATAGTACCAATAGTCGTGGCGAAGGAGATACGTTTCATTAGATTAAGAGCTCGGGGTAATCCATTAAACTAATGCACGCGAAAAGTAACGAATAAGTATAAAAACGGAACAAATTTCCATCCGTTGACGATGTAAAAGTTCCCCCGATCGCGTCGTTTGCGGGTCAAATGCGCGTGAAATGGAAACCTCCGCAGGGAAAGGTACATAGTGTACATGGTATATAGGCTGGCTGGAGCAGCTCATCCGCTCGTAAGCCGATGATGTAACGGTACGATAGCGCCTTTTTTTTCACGCCAGCTACAGCCAACCGCGCGAATTAAAAATCTCTGAGAGTGGATGGTTCGTTCTCTCTTATGTGAAAACTTGAAACTAAAGAACATCGAAACAAAAAGCATTGCACGGGTGAATTTCATCTGGTCTTACAGTCTCGAGCACAAAAATCATTAAAAAAAAAATGCCCCGAAACGTGATAGTAGGGATGCGTTACCTGCGTTTCCCGGGTAATGGGAAATCGGCAAGGAAAGCGAGAGCGGATATTGCTTCCACGGTCGAGCTCACGTCGTCGCCGTTCCGTCGAATGTTGTACGTGTTGTGTTGAATGTTCCCCTGTACATAGTACTCAGGTATACCTAGGTAGATATATAATTATATATATATATATATCCATGTAGAGGCTCGACAGAGCTGGACACGATCGGCATGGACGAGGCGGCCCGTTGTCAAGGGACGATGACCCTGTACCCGCAGGTGTCCCCTGCGTGCCGAATGCTGCCGCTACTTCGATTTATCGCCGGCTCCCTAGCATGGCTTGGCCGCTGGTGGCCCCCTACTTTATCGAACTCCTTACGTCCCTTTCGATTCCCATCTCTGGGGATCGGACGAGGCATTTTTTTTTTTTTTTTCTAAAAAGCGAGCCCTAGTGTGTATGCCGTGTCTTCGCCGATGGAAAGGGGCCATTCGATGTAACTCGGGTATCGTTACACGGAGCGTGACTGGAGCATTCGTTTAAATTATTACCGATGCTGCCTCCAATTTCGGTGCGCCTCAAAACTACGGTATACCCACCCTCGTACATCGTGGAAATCGATTCTCGCGCAATACAAATAATGAATTATTACATTGTACCTATTTGCATGATTCGTGATGGTGTATATTAGGTAATGGTTATACCCTCTCGCCAATCGAATGTAATCACATGATATAAATATATTTTCATTTTGTGAATATTTTGTTATTTATCAACTCAAATACATTGGATTCCCGCCCATTGGTCGAAATTATGCCAACGCCCGATTATGATGATCTTTGAAAGGATCTGCAATTGAACCGATCGGATTAAATCATCTCGAACGTATAGGTATAGGTATGCTCGCGTATGCAGTTGGTGCGGTATTCGTAGTAGGTGTATGTGCACGATATTTCATCAAAATGTATGCATTAGGAATCGACATCGGTTACCGGTGTAAATTTGCCGCAATCAGTGCCGCAACACAATCAGACGAAAACCCTTTACATGACAACTGCAACCGACAGCAGCAGCTGTTGGATATCGTAATTTAATAACGCGCCTCCAATTAGCGAGCTGCAGCCGGGGAATCCCACCGACAATACGCGCCCTCCCTTTCTTCTCGGCGTTTAACACCAATGGCTCCCGAGATAAAGCTGCCGCTCGCTCTATTGCTTTTTTCCTTCTTTTATTTATTGCGCCACCTTTTTCCTTCTCTTTTCAAATGCAATTCCAGAGGGACAAGCCATAGGCAAACAAAATCAAAAGAAAAAGAGCCCCCCCGGTATATACGTAGTATACTTGCACCGATGCCCGCAACTTCGTATAGTGGTGGTACCGGTTCGGCTCGGACTTTATAAAATTTATTCAAATTCATTCAAATCGGAGCGGCAGAATCTCCAGAGCATATACATATATAGAGGGGGTTGCATTGCAAATTAAAAACACCACCCCACATGTCCTAGTTTTTTTTTTTTTTTGTTTGATTGGTAGCGCCACTTTGTATGTTTATGCGGTTTGCGCAGTGTAGGTATTGACCACAATGGATTTTCCGGTGTTTCAGGTCGAACTGAAGCCGCTGCGCGAGACGAGCATAGCCGTGCCAGCGCAGCCGCCAAAGTTGCCGGAGAAGAGAAAGGCCGAGGACACGGACGCCAGTAAAGACTTGAAAAAGGTATAAACTTGATTGTCTATAACAAGTAAACATTCTAATTAATTATAATTGTACCCTCAAATCATACATAAATTGTAATTGTAATGTAAAGGTACACAAGCTACTTACCTGCTTATACATCGACATACCCTCGCCAACAACTGCGAGTATACGTTTCGTGCCAATTATTGCTAACGAGCGGAGCGGAGCTTCCCAAGTTGTTGTTGCCTCGCACCCCGCCCCGTAATACGAGGTATACAGGGGTAGGGCCAAGCATTCTTTTACTGCCCCATTCGGCAGCGGCAGTTGCGCGATTGCTCGTCCCGACTCTCCTCCTCTTATTGTTTTAGGCACCGTTGTAATGTATATGATAACGTATACATGCAGGGTGCTTGTGCTGAACGGGGCTCGTCGATGATTACGATAACGGCAACGGATTATGATTCGTCGTTTTGCTTCCACATCTCCACCATCTCGTTTCTTTATCTCCGGGGAAAATCAATTGTTCTGCCAACCACCCCTCAACGTTACCATATCACCATCGGCTTGCCGGGTTCTTAACGTTTTCCTCTCCGCGATTACGCACCTGTAATCCCGATCATCCCGTCGGTCCAACCAAAACGGAGATCCCCGGCATTCAGACGAGTCGCCAGCAACACGTGTACCTATGTATACCAATAGACAGGGCATCAAGCATCAGGTATATATTTACAATATATTATGCTCCATCTACGTTACATCCATAATTTTACGGATTGCCCTATACCTTTTTTACATATTGTACATCAGCGACAACTTACCATACATGAGCGACTCGCGTCACCTATTTTGGCCCTGCGTCGATCTTATCTAATCGGCGCGTCGCGCAGTCCCGACTGCAGTAGCTGCTCTCGTTTTCCCTCCGCGGCCTTGCTCCTCCTCTATCTCTCCGCAGTAGACGTGCCTATGTGTACAGTATAGCGCGCGCTCTATTGTTAGCCCAGGGGGGGGGGGCTGGTGTGCCGTCGTCTATACCAGCCTGGGCCAAGCTCGCTCGCGTCTTATTCTTGACTCCGCGAGCTATTCTCCCTCCTCGTTTACTGATGCTCGGCTGCACTCTATACCGCGATACCTGTAGCCCATCGCGTTTCTATTCATTTCGTTGTCTTGCCGATGCTGCGGCTCGTCCGTATGATGCGATTTGACCTGCACCTTGTATTTTTAGTTCATCAAATGGTTTACGCAATCGCGCACCCCTCTTTCTTGCATTGATTTCACCTGTACGTGGCGCGTATAGTTTATGTATTGTACGGGCTAGCTTCGCCGTATCAAAATTTCATCGTGACTTCCATCCGTCAATTTAGCCTCGGAGTCGCCTTTTTTGCGCTCCAGCCCCCTCTTGGAAAATCGCTCGCGAAATTCAACAACTTGGCCGCCTTTTACGGCGGATATACGGTAGCGGCGCGGCGTTATTAAGTCGCTCGATGTATAATCTCTCGGGAACAGAGAGACAGCGTGGCGCTCGTAAATCGTTGCTCCCCCTCCCCCCCACCCCAACCATAAAAGAAAGTTATATCGGGCAATCTCTTTGGTTGTACGTAGCTTGGAAACGCACCTGCGAATGGCATTCGCGTCTAGGCGCGGGCTCTTCTCGACTCCCTTTCTTTTTGGATGGTGATTTACCAGCGAGTCGTAAAAACAATCATCGTTCTTTCGGTGCTGGCTCGTAAAAAAATTCTCGCAGTCGGGGTTAAATGTGGCACGCTCGGGTTCATAACGTCACGACACGAGCACAGCATTAAACTGCGGGCCAGTGGTTTGACCGCTCCAAACTTCTCCAGGGGATTACAAATAGTTGCGGGTTCATTCAGCTCGGCTCTACTCCACTTCTTCTTCTCTTCTTTTTTTTATAGCAACAGGCGACAAAATCTTTTTTTTTTTTTTTTTTTTCTTTTTTTTTCATCGCAAGTGCTCCCACGCTCTTTTATTGTTTTTTTTTTTTTTCCACGTATACCTGACCTTCTCCGGCTCATGCTTGGCCTACATATTTTTGTATCGGATAAACAAACGCACGTGCTCTGCCAAGTCAAATACCGCAGGATCGACTGCCAGCCGCGGAGATGGAGTGTAGGGGGGAGCGTTATGAATTCACGATCGGGAGTGTGTGTGTGTGTGTCTGACGTTGTCGGATTTTATTGTAGCTTCTCTCCTCCCAATGACATCAATTTCGTCGTCTTTGTCTTTGTCGTTAGCTGAGGCTAAAAAATAATGTCATCCAACTGACAACTGACACTTCAAACGTCGATTCTAGGAAACATATTTTTTTGAAAAACCGCAAGCGCAAGCGACTGATTCTTTTTTTTTTGTTTTTTTGTTTTTCATCATCACGCGTGGGGAAAACAAGTTCTCCTCGATGGCCTCGGTAATTCGTGTAATATACGTCAACTTGCCGTGCGAATCGATTACCTCGCCACCACAATTACCAGATGCCGTACAGTTTCCTCAATCGAGCGATGACGGATCCATGTTTTTCTCCTCTCTGGCGAATACATCGGCGACTCCCGGGAAACGCGTCAATAATCGATCACATCGCGCGCGATGGCTCGTGAAAATTTCACACCAAGCATTCAACCAGTCGCGATCGGCTCCACGGGGACGATTCTTATCATTTTTTCCCCTCTGAATGAAAAATTTCCACCATCCCAACTGCACCTTCCGATCAGTATGCATCACGACCCCTTATTGGCTCATCCCCCTCTGCATGTTTATTTATTCATGCTAACGCGCTCCTCCTCTCGATAATAGCCACTCGGTATACGTATACATCTACATCTTCCCTCGCGACGTTCTGCCTCTTTCTGCTAAACTTTTGCCTCCCCCTTTTTTTTTCGAAACCGAGTATCGCAGCTCTGCTGGCTTCTTTAGCATTTCGCTGTATTGGAAAAGGTATACGCTCGAGCTTCCCGTCAATTTTCATCGCTCGCGTACATAATACATAGAGCCGAAGGTGAAACGAGAATTGATCGCCGAAAGTTGTAGTCCCCTCGTCCCTCGAGTTGGCCCCGGAGAATGAACGAGCCAAAAGACCCTTTTCCCCTCAATTTTCTTATCGAAATCTTTTTTTTTCTTCGGAGGATAAAGAGAAAGAAGCAGGACAGGGGGCCAACATTACGGAGAATCAGCGAGTCAGTCCCGCACAAAGAGGGAAGGAGCACGAGGAGGGGGCGGGGGGACTGGTTAGATAGATCGTTGCCGTCGTGCTCACCGAGTGTACGCGTACCACTTACACACACGCGTGTAGAAGCTGACGTACCCCAGAGGGAGTCGCTGATCAGATAGGAGGGAGGAACTCCCGTCGTCCTTCTGCCCTCGCGTGTGCTGGCATTGTACGGGACTCGGTGCGCGCGTGGGTGTATAACCACCCCGTACCCGCTCCTGTGGAGATTGCGCCCCGAAGCAGAGTCCAGAGAATAAGAGTGTCGTGAGGGGCCATTGCCAGCGATCGAAGGCATCGCGTTCAGAATGCGGGTGTAGCTCGGCGGATGAGATTCCAAAAACGCGCAAAAGCCGGGGTGTGTTTCCAGTCCCCGGGTGACGATTCGAGGGTCGAAGTAACTCGGCTGATGCCAAAAAAACTTTTAGTCGTGGTACCGAGCGGGAGCTAGCTCTTTCACGTGGCAGACTTCCTCTCTTACGAAGGGGGAACAAAAAATGCTCGCGCGTCAAAGGTACCTCGGCCGCGGAGTCGGCTCTTGATGCGGGCGCGCGCGCATGTATCTATAATGCACGCCTTTGACGCGCGGGGCTCTCTTTTCACACCTTTTGCGCTCGAAGGGGTCCCTCCGTCTCTGTTGTCTCTCTCTCTCTCTGCCGACGGGTTTTCCATCCCCAAATTGTTGTTGTCCCTATACTCCCTTTTTTTTTTTTTTTTTTTTTCCATCGCTGTAATTGACTGCAAGATGCAATGTAATTCGTGTTTCGCGTTGACTCGATTACCCGTTGCCAGGGGCTGCAAAACATTGGTTTCCAATAAAAATGTAAAGCATCGCTGAAAACAAACCTCTCGTGGGAATTTTGCATTACCTACTCGAGCTCTTTTCAAGTTTATTTGTACGGATCAAAAAAAAAAAAAAAAAAAACAACGTGGTACTATAATTATTCGGAAAAACATGTACATTATCCTCAAATAATTAATAACCGGCGATAATGACGGTATACGAGCACTCGTGTACACGTGTACAGTTATATACGTATGGAGGGTATTATGTTTTATCGGATTACAAAAATCCTCGCTCGCCCAAACTGACGTACTTAACGAGTTCCGGCTCTCAGTAGTAGAGGCCGCCGAATGCTCAGACTCGCTTTTCTGTGCGATTGCACACCTGCCGTTACAGGTATATAGGTGCTATGTACCTGAAGCTCTTCTCCTCATTAAAATCTCGACGTCGGTTGCTCGTGAATTTTCTCTCTCTGTCGTGCATGTCTTTTCGTTATTTGCACTATATATTCGTCTGCCACCACACTTTGACAATTTTCCTTTTTTTTTTTTTTTTTTTCATCCCCGAGTCGACTTGGGCAAGAGTTGCACTAAAGATCAAAAAGGGAGACCAACCGCTGGATTTTCGAGTAGATCTTTCGTAACGAAGAGCTTCGTCCGCTACTCTTTTTTTACTTTATTTTCTTTTAAAGCTTGTTACGGCATACTAATCTGCTGCCAGCTGCCGCTGCAACAGCTGCTCCCCGGACTTTTTTCGTCAACTTTTGCGCGACGCGCCAACTTTTTTCGAGCTTCTTTTCCGCACTCCTAGTTTTGGAATTCTTTTTAAAACCATACATTTGAAGTGTACGTAGCTATCGATGGACATTGATAAAAATAATTATATAAAGTGTGTGCCGGAGTCTTTTGTTGTAATATAATTGAACAACACAGCGTCCGAACGACTGTCCGCAGTTTTTCGGTACCCTCGCACGAGCGTTCTCTTTTTCGTCGCGAAATTGCATGTCGAGTTGGCAAACGTGTTTGAAAAAAAAAAAGAAGTTTTTTGAATCATAAATTCAGCTGTAGGAACATATATGAGGCAAACACAATAATTTCTCAAGTGCAGTGAATTCATAAATATACATAATAGAACTCGGCTCTTTGCTGCGAAATTTCACGCGCAGTGTATTTTTATCCGCAAGGTAATAGCTAATAAAACTGGTACTCCATAAAAGCTGTACGTTTTCCTGAAAAATGTGTTGCTTTGAATTAAATTCTTGTGCGAATTTCAGGCACGCACGCGAGTGTATGCGCTAGAAAATAGAATCGAAACAGTATTTACCCACTCGGTGTTTTTTTTTTTCCCTCGAAATAATTTTTGCGCGTATAATTAAAAGTAAACATCGCAATGCGATTACGAGCTCATGGGGTCTAAGGCAGTAAAAAAAAGTAAAGAATATCTTAGATGAAAGCCAAATGGTTCATTATGAAATTAAACTTTTAAAAAATTATCAAGTACATGGTGTACTTATACGCCACGTAAAATTGACATTGATTTATTATTTTTAAGGAAAAATGATCATTGACAATAACCCTAAATACCAACCGTACACTGCACTGCTACAAAAAAAAGAGGGACGAAAAGCCCCGGAAACGATCAAAGTAGGTCAAGAATTTTCTGAGATACGACACACGCGCACAAAGCCATCAGACATTTTTCCCGCAAGGACTTGATTTGATACTCTGTGAGGAAAAAAATGACGCTCACGCGGAGCCCAGTCTTTTTTTCAAGCCTGCAAATGCGATTTGCGTAATTTTTTTTCCTCCGTGCCCACCCGTTGGCACTCATAATCGGATTCAAGGCCGTGCAACAATGGAAATCCCTCCGACGCAGGCTGGATGCCCGAAAGCCACCGAGTAATCCCATGCGCGGGCGTCGCCAATTGGTGCTGTCAAAACGACATTTCGGCCGAAAAACAAACAAGTAAAAAAAGAAAAACGCACTCGTATCCCTCATCTCGACCGAAAAAACGCGGACGGCTAGCGAATCACGGGGGTGGCCTTTTAACGTGTATACATGTACACGCACTATGGCAAACTAAAGCCGCAACAGAGGAAAAACTCGGGGGCCCCTTTAAATGCAGATAAAGAGGATGGGGGTATGCACGGGAAGGGAGCTTTGTGCATTGTACTCGCGAGCGCCGCCGATGTTTGCGCAAACTGGCTACTTTTTCCTTTGATCGGTGCTTCTGGCCGAGACGCAACGATGGAGGGGGTCAGTTTCCCCGTTGTATCCCTGTCAGCGCAAACCCTACCTAGTTTTTTTGTTCATTTCTTTCTGTTTTTTGTTGCAGGCCAAATTGGAAACCAAGGCATTGAAAGCGAAGAGGCCCGGCTTCACGGACGAGCGCTACAACGAGACGAGCTACTACGTCGAAAATGGTCAGTATCCTACACAATGCAGTGTTGTTATTACCTATTTTTTTATTACATCTATGTATCTCTCTCTCTCTTTTTTTTCTCTTCGCGGGGACGTGCATTAAATGTTTCCGAGACGGGGAAAAACCACCGGCTGAATGTATTTTTTTATCCGCTGCCATCGCCTTTCCGTGCAGTCATTGAGCTAAAATTTTTGTATTTACCGGTACAATTGATTATTTTAAAACTGCACGTGGGGGGAAAACGAGAGTGAAAATTTTAGGAGCACGAGTCGGAGGAGGAGTAGGTATAGACGCACACTGCGCCAAACGGGCGCTCGTGTACACCGGACGCGCCGGTATTGACAACCGATATCTGTTCCACATTTGAATAATAGATTCGGCGTGACTGCACCAGAGAAGCCATCCACTACCTACTATCTACACGTAGATGCATTTTTCTTTTTCCTTTTTTTTCGGCTCGGGTTTCCCAATAAACTCCCGCGTCGCGAACAAGAGGATTTATTAGCAACTCCCGTACACACTCGACTCGACGAGCCGTAAAAGTAAGTAAAAGGGAGGGGGGGGGGCAAAAACTTGGCGTGTGCTGCACACCTTGGTCCAAGAGGGGCAAGAGGAAACTTTTCTTGAAATCTCTCAAAAAGCGCGTGAAGCGATCGGGAGAGGTGCTCCCATTCGGGATCAGTGATGAAACTTTGATGACATCTCCGAAAGCAGGGATTTCCCACCATACCCTCTTCCTCTCTCGCCGTGGATGTTATCGGGGTTTTTTTTCCCTTATGCCTCCACATCTTTTATATACACATAATATGTACTTTCACACTTGGACGACCAAATGGATTTTAATATACTTTTATCGAGCGGTACAGTGGGATTTTTCTTCATCACCAAAGTCACTTCTATATATTTACACACCTCGTCACAGTGCGGGACCTACTAGTTTAGATTAAATTTGTCGTGCACCATTGGATAGAGGGTCACTCGGAGCGAGCATGTACACCTGGCGAATTTGAATGGACGCACCGAAAGTTATTGCGCAACTTCTCGAATGGCCATTTTTAATTATTTCGCGTGTAATGGAACTTTCCGCGAGTCTCTTTACAAATTAGGTAGTCTCGTCCCCCTGCCTCGCTGCTCCCCCGCAAAGTTTTCTCATAACCACGAGCTAATTTTTTCCTGCTTTGAAATTGTAGCGATCTTCATTGTGTCTCTTGAACCGCTCACTACCGCTGTAATTGTATTTTTTTTTTTTTTCTTTTCTTATACAATCCCGTTATTTCGATAATTAGTTTTCAAGCTTCGGAGGGAAATATTTATAGCCTCTGTCAAAAAAGCCTGCCAGCAGAGCCCTCGAAAAAAAAACCCCTTGTCAGAGAGTAGCAATCAGTGGGCGCATCGTTTCGGCGGACTCGCGAGTCCAAACGCAAAAAGCTCGCGTTGCCATCGCCCAATAAATTCGTCATTCGGCGCGTTTTCGTGCACGTAGGTGTCGAAAGAGGCGGAAGAAGAAAAAAAAAACACGCATAATGCACAGGCAGGGAGATAGAACGAAGCGAAAAATAGAAACCAGAGATGAGAAGAAAGCCGCCGCGGAGCGTTTAAGCTCTGGCGGCCGGCCAGATCATTTTGCAAAATAAAGGCTATCTTGGGTGAAAAATAGGTCCTAGGCCAAAAGTACACGACAACAAAAGAGGTGCATGCGGAAAGAGGATGCTCAGTGCTCGCTCACTGCGTACTTATTTACCTTTGCCGTCGTCTCGACGACGCGTAAATAATACAATGCTGCACTCGCCAACCAATTCTGTTTTTTTTTTTTTTTTTTTCCATCCCTCTTCGTCCTTATTGCTATTGAATCAAGCCGAGTGACGTAGCGCAACGTATACAGAGACCATGCATTTTTAATAACGAGTCGAATCGGGATTAAATAATTTTTTCACCGTTTATTCTTGATGGATATTTTTTCTTTCGGCATCGCGATGAAAAATATCGAAAAATCAGCCAGCGCATTATGAGCGTTCGAATGGCTTACTCTCCCGAGTTCTCTTTTCAAGTATAATATCTATATATACGTGCAATGGACTGCTGGATTCAAATATATTGCGGCCCAAAGGTTTTTTTCATGCTTTTCTTTCGTCCAAAGTACAAGTGATTCGGCCCTCAAGGGAACGTCACTGTAAAATGCAAATGTCTTCCAAACGCGAAAGGAAAAATTACCACCAACAAGGTCCTCGCTGATGACGCGTCACTGTTGAATAAAAAAAAGGACTGACGCAATAGCTCGCAAACAATTGCACTCGTTTACACCTGACACCCTACCTCCCCTCTGGACGATCTTTGCATGCAGAAACGCCTGGAAAGGAAAACACACGAGTAAAGAGACGCGGAGGGATTTGCAAAGCTAAAGCAAGTAAATCAATGGCAAAGTCGCCTTCCTTTCTCGCTACACAAGTGTGTGTGTGTATACGTATATAGGCATGTACAGCTCCACGGAGCGAAAAAAGCCTCGCCGGAACAAGGTCTACGTGATTCAAATCTAGATCCGATGGCATTTCTCCCTCCTCGAGGGTAGGGGGCGTCCACGGGCACGTGCGCTATCCAACCCGGGAGAATCCTCCGTATTCCGTATAGTGCTAATGCCAGGCGGACGCTCTACCTCGGCGAAACGTATTTCGCGACCCTCTTGCATCAGCCGTACGGTATATATAGCACGTGCTTCTGTGTGAAGGAAAATCCATCGACAAGCCTTGTTGTGTATACGCGCAAGTATATACCTAAATATACAGGCACACACGAGGAGGGAGCACCCAGACAAGTGATTGTATTCACCTGGTGCAAGGAGAGGGTGAGGGGGCGATCTTACGATGCGATCTCGAGAATCCGATCGATCCAATAAGGGCCCCCCGCGGGCGAGTGAAATTTCTTCGACCGGGCAGGTGGTGTAGCAGCGGTGCACCCACGAAACATACCCACCTTCAACGTGATAACCCACCGTTTACGACCCTCGCACTATATGACACATATACATGCATGCACCCTCTCGTGAAATGAGGTCGTATTAATTTATTATTGTACAAGGAGCTTGTGGTTTGTAGTTACAGGCGCGAGTAGACACGTTATAGTTTGGTTGTATTGGCGTTAACAGTTACGAGGTAACCATGCAATATAAGCCGGGATACATCCAATTATATTGTACTTGATGTAGTTGTATACTCGCGTGCTCCAAATAGCAGCTACGTGGTGGTCATTATTGGTCAAGCACATTTAGCCCCCGTTGGGGAGCGAGGCGCCGTCGTCGTGTGCTTTCCACCCCGGCTCTCCTGTTATACGTGGTGTGTTTCTTATCCATGCACACCTGCGCGTATATTTATATATCTGTAGATCGAAGCACAGTAGTCCTGAAGGTACGCTATGCTGTATGCGTATATTTTAACACAGCTCAATTGAGTACCTACTCGCATGCACGCGTACATCGGTTACCGACCCGTTTTACCCCCAAACGATATGGGTCATTGGCGGACGAACTTTTCCAACAGTCCTCCCGCGATGAAAGCTACATCGAGCTGCAGTGCATGGCCGTGTAGCTTTTACACCTGACTTACACGAGTGTATCTTCTTGCTTGTCCGGCCACGTCAGAGTCTCTATTCACATGCATACATACATACGTACCTGCTGTTGCTGACTCTCGATGCACTTGATGGTTTCTCTCTTTTTTAGTAGGTGGGTAGGTTTACACGAACTCCGTTCAATTTGCTCCATTGCTCCTCAAAGTTGAACACCAGACAGCTGTGCTCGCGGGGGGGTGGGATGAAATAAAATAAAACAGCTGTGCTTTGAATCGATAAGAGGGGTGGGTTGGGGGAGGGGGGGCTGGATCGATGCGAACCTTGCCGAAGCTCAATTAACTGAGGGCGAAAAGGGGTCCGAGGAGGAAAAGGGATGGGTGGAGCGTCGTCTCCTCCTTCAAGTCCCCATCAATAACATCAGAGGAAAAGGGACGGGGAGCTTTGCCACTTTCTCGGATCAAGATTTCCATTTATTTTTATTTGTAGGTACGACTCCCTCTTTAACCCCCTCCTCCTCTCATACCCGTACATACGTATACCTGCACACACAAACTTATCTCTCCTCTCGTACGAGTGTGTGTGTATGTATATATATGTACATGGAATAGAGGGAGGTCATGTGTGTAACGTTGGCACATTACACACGTTTATATATAGTACACAGTATATATATTATGGAGTGTCCGTTTTTTCCCAAATTGAGTTATTGTCAGATCCCACTACCGAAATTGCCTCTCGGCAGCGTCAAACTATATTCATCACGGATTCGAATAGACTTATACATCGAATAAACTTTCAGCGCAAACTGATCTGGCGTGCCTACTGGCCATCGGTCGTAAATTTATGTACTACAGCTACAATGAAAAAAAAAAAAAAATTTGCACTTGCTTTGCCAGTAACTTTTGTCTTTAGGCTCTATCCATTTTTCTCCCGTGTACACACACACACAATGTGTTGTGTTTTGGCCCTCGTGCTTCTTCTATGTATTTGTTCTCGGAGCACCTGATGCCTTTCATTTTCCAGTCTTCAAGGGCCATCGCCCTGCTGGTCTTTTTTTTCATGATCTCATCCGCTCTTTGCTCTTCTCCCTGCGCGAACACGAGAAAGGAAAAAAAAAAAAAAAAAAAATCATCCACAACACAAAAGCTCGCCCGTGTTCCCGACGTGCTCTCGCATCTCCTTCTGCTTCTCCCTCTCTCTTTCTTTCACCCTCGTTCTCGAGTGCGTGGCGTCTCCGTAATATGGGTTTTTGCGCACTCGCTCGAGCACGTGTGTGTGTGTGTGGGCGTCTTTATTTTTCCGCTTTTGACGAGAGAAAAAGCAGAGGCAAAACGCAGACGCTCCTCTATACCATGCGTCTTCCTAACCCCGGGATTTGCGTCCGGATGAGAAATGCGCGGGGGAAAAAAAATCGCTTCCCGAGACACCCAGCGAAAAAGA